TGACACGTTCTGGCTCTCTGTAAATAAAGCAAAGTCACTTCCTCATCCGACATTAAACAGCCCCACAGAGGAGGGAGGGGCGGGGCGGCTGTCGCCGTGCAGCGCAGCTGTCCTGCGTCTGACCTCAAAGTGCACAAGCTTCAAACTTCAGCGTTGGCTGCGATTTTGAAGCTGAAATCGTGTTCGGTGTGAACGCACCATCAGAGGCTGAAGCTCTCAGAAGTAAAGATGAGCAGGGCTTCACCTGTCTGGGGCCTCTGCTTTAAAAACAGGTCCGGTTCTGTTCTGACAACACGTCCATAAATCTCTGTAAATAAACACAGTTCACTGCTCCATCCTTAAATACTACTTTTTCTCTTCAGACCCTGTGTCCTCATATGAGGACGTTGCATTTTTCCCTCTCTGCACAATGTTTTAGTTTTTGTTTTCTCAACTTTGACCCATTGGCCTGACTATAGACACTACCAACTAGAGCTGTAACGATACATAGCTCCACATCAATATAATGGTTAATGATTCAATCATATAAGGGAAAAAATCTTATATCATCACCATATGCCCATCTAACGGTTATTTTGTAAGATGGGCATAAAGATATTCCATCATATCGACTGCACATTTGTGAATCAAATCATATCCTGACAGACTGACAGACTTTGTGATATTGAGAAATATCGTATCGTCATCCATAAAATATCACATCGTGATAAATCAAGTGATTTACACCCCTAACACCAGCACCATCTAGTGGTCACATGACAACATTACACTCGGTGAAAACATGGCGGGGATCCCAGTAAAAAGCTTCTACAGCAGAAAAAACAGTCGATAAAAATCCAGATCATAAATTATTATAAATTATTTATGCTTAAAACTCGTGTTTATGAGCAGCTACATCTTTAGCTTCATCAAACATGCAAATCTGGCCATTTTTTGCAATTGTAGCAAAGTACAATGTTTATAAAGACGAAGTCCTCAATTGAGGACATTGGGACTATATTTCATTATTGATTGCGCCGTGCAGGTGAATAAACATGGGAGGATTTAAAAAGATTCACAAATGTAAATAAATATGGTAAGCGGTTCATTTGTTCAACCAGTTGATTTGAACAAGGATGTTCTGATCATATGCTCTACCATCGTATCACGTTATCAGTTCTTCAAACTGAGGAGCAATCTGAACGTTGTCATTGATGATGATGATGATGAAATTTACTGATCTTGCTCTGGTCAACAGCTGGCTGCTGTGTTCCCAAAATAACTWGGAAAATAATCCCTCAATAAAGGCTATCATGACGTTGTACAGGGTAGCAGCTCAGGTATTCCTCAACCAGCGTGATGTGTTTAGACCCAGTGTCCTCGTATGAGGACATCAATTTTTTTTTTTGCAAAAACCCCTTCCTGTACCACGGCAGAGTCCAGTTATTATACTTATTAGGTCCTACTAACCTCATTTACCTCGAAGAAAAAAATGCACACCAAACCAAAGCTTGAATCTCAGGAGGGTAAAGCTCTATCCTGCAAAGAAGCCATAAGAAAACACCATCCAGAACCACTACTGTAGACTGTAGAGGTAGAGAAATGTTTTTTAGCAGATCCAAATTTTGAAGTTCTTTTTGGGGACCATGAATGCCAGCCTGTTAGTAGTGCACAGTACTGTCTGCCTCTCTGTTGGTATGGGGGTGCATTAGCGGGGATGGTAAAGCCCTGTCCGACCAGCCTGAACAGAGCGTGAACGTGTTCGCAGGAAGAAGACAAAGGCGTGAGCGACGGCACCTTCAAAGGGCAGCGTTTATTCGAGTGTCCCCCGAGGAGAGCTCTGTTCGTGAAGCTGGGCTCGTGTCGGCCCGACTCACGCTTCCAGACCGTCTCAGACGACCACGTGGAGAACATGTCGGACCCGGACATGCTAGGTAAGCACAGAGCAGCTAACAGCATCTCAAAGATTCACCTTCAGATGTTTGTTCTCGATGTCTCCGTTTGTTTTCTCTGCACCAGAGGAAGAGGCAGGCTACAGCACCGGAAACCTAGAGTTTGTTCCTCCAATCAGCAGCGAGCAGGTTCAGCGGGTTCTGATTGGCCGGATGAAGGGGATCCAGGGTCACTGCAACTCCTGCTACATGGACGCTGCTCTGTTCGGGTCAGGACGGTGAAAATGACAGGATAAACGGATGTGTCAGCAGGTTCTGAGCTGCAGCTGCTTGTTTCTGTCCTCAGCTTGTTCTCCTGCTCCTCCGTGCTGGACTCCATGCTCTTCAAATCCACGACTCCTCAGGACGCCCCCATCCAGAGGACGCTGCTCCGCGACATCGTCAACCCCCTCCGCAGGTACGTTCAGAAGGGAGCCCCGCCCCCGCTGACGAGGCAAACACYGCGTGTGACCATGAGCCTTCTTCTTGTAGCAAGGGCTTCGTGGAGGGCCGGCACGTCATGAGGTTCAGGCAGCAGCTGCAGAAGCACGGCTACAGCCACTCCTTCACCACAGACGAGAAGGGTCAGTCCAGAACCAGAGCTAAAGCCCCGATCCATCCAGGAGGACACAGCTTCTAAAGTGCTTGTGTTTTTCAGATCCGGAGGAGTTCCTGATCATCGTCATGCACCACATCCTGGCCCTGGACCCTCTGCTCAAACTGTAACTGTTGGCTTTGAACCATCTCTGGCGCCGGTGCAAAGATCTGATCCTTTATTTTGTTGTTGTTGTTTTGTTTTGTTTTTTTCATTTCAGATCAGCTGCTGGCAAAGTGCAGGAGAGCTACTGCTACCAGATCTTCCTGGACCAGAACCACAGCCTGGTTCTTCCCACAGTCCAGCAGCTCCTGGAACATTCCTTCCACAGCGCCGGACTCAAGCTGGCAGAGGTGAGAGCTGCTGTGGAGCTAAGTAGCAGTTAGCACTGTTGCACCACAGATATAAGACTCTGAGCTGGATTTGTCTGCTGAAAGGAAATGAAATGAAGATATTTAATGAAAAACTATGCAGTGAAATGATGCTTTTCTAAGGGTTTTACTATAATTAAAAAGAAAAAAAACAGGTTTCTATGTTAGAGAGGATCCACTGAACTGTTGCTGGTTTGTCTTTAAAAGCTATGGAAGAGCATTATATTCACCAAATAAAAACATTAGATACAGTATCTGATCTCGTAATGATGAAATAAGATCTCATAATTACAAGATGACATGTCAGAAATATGAGATAAGATGTCCCAATTATGAAAAGATCTCATAATTACAAGATCCTGATCTCATAATTACAAGAAAAGATCTCATAATTACAAGATAAGATCTCACAATTATAAGATCTTGATTTCATAATTACAAGATAAGATGTCATAATTACAAGATAAGATGTCCCAATTATGAAAAGATCTCATAATTACAAGATCCTGATCTCATAATTACAAGAAAAGATCTCATAATTACAAGATAAGATCTCACAATTATAAGATCTTGATTTCATAATTACAAGATAAGATGTCATAATTACAAGATATGTCAAAAATACGAGATAAGATGTCCTAATTACAAAAATATTTCATAATTATGAGACAAAATGTTATAATAATGAGATCCTGATCTCATGATTACTAGAAATTTTTACAATTACAAAAAAGATCTCATAATCACGGGAAAAGATTTCAAGATAATTACCAGATCAGATCTCATAACAAGATCCTGATCTCTTAATTATAAGATAATGATTTTTGTTATAATCAATGCAATGCTCTTCCATAAAAATCTGATAGAAATTATTATTATTATTATTTTTCTTTTTAGCAGCTGTGAGTCAGGACATGTTCGTCCAGCAGGTGTCTCAGTGGGACAGGTGTCTCAGTGGGACAGGTGTCTCAGCACATCACCTGTCCTCAGCTTCTTCTTGTCTGTCCGTCTTCAGGTGCCATCCTGTCTCATCCTGCAGATGCCTCGCTTTGGGAAGAAGTTCAAGATGTTTGACAAAATCATTCCCTCTCTGGAGCTGGACATCACCGACCTCCTGTCTGAGGGTGCCTTTACACACACACACACACACACACCCCGAGGTGTTGTCACTGTGTTACATCACTGTGTGTGTGTGTGTGTGTGTTGCAGGGCCGCAGCAGTGCATCCTGTGTGGAAACCTGGCCGTGGAGGAGTGCACAGATTGTTTTAAAGAATTTGTTTTCAGCTCAACGGGATTCAAAGTCTTCTGCAGGACGTGTTCAGCTCAGGTGTGTGTTTTTATCTGAACAGGTGATCTGAACAGGTGAGCTGAACAGGTGAGCTGAACAGGTGAGCCGAACAGGTGAGCCATTCAGGCTGCAGCATGTACCAGGACAAAGGAGTTCCTCTCATTTAATAAAAAAAATCTCCTTTTGGAGGGAAACCATTAGCAGGATCTMCTTCCAGCAGCTTCTCACTTCCTAATCTTGTAGTTGTGTGTCCTCGTCAGGTGCACGCTCACCCCCAGCGCCGGGCCCACCGGCCCGCCCCCCTGGACATCCCTAAGGGTTACCTGGGCCGCGGCGTCCCCCACACCCTGACCAGGGACAGGCTGGAGCTGTTCTCCGTGCTCTGCATCGAGACCAGCCACTACGTGAGCTTCGTCAAACACGGGCCCAACAAACACGACTGGATCTTCTTCGACAGCATGGCCGACAGACAAGGTGGGCGGCGGCTTGTTCTGCAGCCGTGTAAACACGGGGAGCGCTGAGTCAGCACTTTTTCTCTTTGCTTTTTTTGTGCCTTTGTTGTCGTTCATGTAGCAAAACCTTCAGCTCGTTTAGTTTTGTAACGTTTATTCAAAATGTTTTATCTATTTTACAAACATTTCTTCACAGAAATAAATCCAGATTATTTCAAATCTGTTCAAACATTTTCTCACAAACCTGCTTCAGCTGCTGGTTTATCCTCTTATGCTGCTTTTAGCTTTTAGCAAGTATTTTAGTACTTTTAGCATTTAGCCAGTGTTTGTTTTTGCCAGCTTATGCTAGCATCTAGTTAGCCTTATTCTACATTAACTACTGTTGTCCTACTGTTAGCTTCTGGTTAGGTTTTTGCTACTTTTAGCCTGAAYTCTTCTGTTTCTACTGTTATCTTCTGACTAAACTTTGCAAACTTTGGCTTTTATCTAATGTTCWGCTGCAATATTTTAGTTCTGCTAGTTTTAGTATATTGCTAGCTTTGTATTAATTTTAACCTCTAGTTAGCTGTATGCTACTTTTAGCTACTGTTATGCTACTGTTAGCTTCTATGTAGCTTTTTGCTGTTTTAAGCCAGCTTTATTTTACTTTTAGCTTGTATCTAGCTTTTTTGCTACGTTTAACTTTAGCCAGCCTTACTCTATTTTTAGGTACTGTTCTGCTACTGTTAGCTTCTGGTTAGTTTTTTGCTACTTTTAGCCTCAAGCCTACTGTTTCTCTTATCTTCTGACTAAACTTTGCAAACTTTGGCTTTTATCTAATGTTCTGCTGCAATATTTTAGTTCTGCTATTTTTAGTATATTGCTAGCTTTTTACTAATTTTAGCTACTGTTATGCTACTTTTAGCTACAGTCCTGTTACTGTTAGCTTGCATCTAGCTTTTTACTAATTTTAGCCTCTAGTTAGCCATATGCTACTTTTAGCTACTGTTATGCTACTTTTAGCTACAGTCCTGTTACTTTTAGCTTGTATCTAGCTTTTTTGCTACTTTTAACTTTAGCCAGCCTTATTCTATTTTTAGCTACTGTTCTGCTACTGTTAGCTTTTATTGCCTTTTGCTACTTTTAGTTTTTAGCTAACTGTTTATTCTTTTAGCTTCTAGCTAAACTTTTGCAAACTTTGGCTTTTATCCAACTTTTTGCTTCTATCTTTTAGTTATCATTCTGCTACTTTTAGTATCTAGCCAGAATTTTGGTACTTGAAACGTTTAGCCAATGTTCTGCTTCTTTTAACATCTAGTCAGTCTTTTACTACATTTAGCTACTGTTGTGCTACTTTCACCTACTCTTCTGCTACTTTTAGGGTTAGTCAGCATTTTGCTTTTTGTATCTTTTAACCAACTTTACTTTTAGCTGCTGTTCTGCTTCTAGCATGTACCTAGCTACTTTTGGGTTTTAGCCCAGTTTTAGCTACTGTTCTGCTTTTAGAGTTAGTCAGCATTTCGCTACTTTTATCTTTTAGTTTTACTCTACTTTTAGCCGCTGTTCAGCTTTTAGCATCTACCTAACTTCTTGACACGTTTAGGTTTTAGCCAGCTGTGTACTAGTTTTAGCTACTGTTGTGCTACTTTTACCTACTCTTTCCTTTTTGTATCTTTTAACCAACTTTARTCTACTTTTAGCTGCWGTTCTGCTTCTAGCATCTACCTAGCTTCTTGATACTTTTGGGTTTTGGCCATATACTCGTTTTAGCTACTGTTCTGCTACTTTTCGAATCTGCTTAGKTTTTTGCTACCTTTAGCTTTTAGTCATCTCTTTGCTACTTTTGAACTAGCTTAGCATAAATAGTTTCAACCCTATAGCTTGTATCTAGCTTTTTGCTGATCTCTCTTTATCATTCTGCTACTTTTAGCATGTAGCTAGTCTTTAGCTACGTTTAGCTCAACCCTTTTCTCGAAGCCCTGTCGTCTTGCCGCCTCTTCACAGAAGATCTCGTTTCTTTTATTTTTCCACCTCCAGGAGAGACGGACGGCTTCAACATCCCGGAGGTCCAAGCCTGCCCCGAGGTGGGCGTGTACCTGGACATGTCTCCCACCGAGCTGGCCAATCAGACGCCGCGAGACATGAACAGCGTGGCCAAGCGTCTGTTCTGCGACGCCTACATGTATCTGTATCAGAACACCAACATGTGCCTTTACCGCTGAGTGGACCGGGCCGGACCGGGCCTGGCGCTGCACTTTAAACATTCTGACCTTTTTGTTTTTGTTTTTTTATTCCTGGATCGCTCCGTTTTCTTTTAACGGAACGTGTGGAAACAAACTGGTAAAGTTGTGTATTTGTACACAGAAATTTACAAAACATTATTCGTCCTGGTGTGGGGAAAGAGTTATATGAAAATAAATGTTTTAATGTCAAATCTTACGTGTAGAAAGGATAAACTGACACGTTGTGCGCTGACGAAAACAAAAACAAATAAACTGTAAATGAAATCAGTTCCAGACGTTCCTGAGCTCCAGCAGTGAGTCGTTAACAGGAGAAATCTCACTTCTCTCGTCGGTMGTGTTTAACCCTSCTGCTGTCCTGGGGTCAAAATGACACCGTTCATGAGGCCTCAGGGGCCATTTTGACCCCAGGACAGCAGCAGGGTTGGAGAACGCTGCGTTAAAATGACACGTTGCACTAAAACGTTTGGATACGTTCAAGTTTGCTGCTTTTATTTACTTTATTGAGGGATCTTGTTTTATTTTTCAGACCAGAAATGACACCAAAGATYACTGGGTGGATTTATTAGGTCAAAGTTTTCTTAAATTGTTTTGAAGGTTAAACTCTTGAAACGTTATATTTTCTTTAAAAAAAAATAAATGGACCAGTTAGTTTTATGAAGGTCTTCAGATCCAAAATGTTTAATATGTATAATGTATAATTTTTTATRATCTTTGGTTGTGATTTTTGTTTCTGAGCAGGATAAGCTGATAAAACTGCTGCAGGTTTCTGTTTCTATCTTCTTCCATCCAGATGTTGTGTTAACGACCTTTGATTGTGATTTGATGGAAATAATTAAAACAAGTTGAACTGTCTGATGAGTTCTCTGTGTTCATAGGTGGAAATGAGTCCTGCAGGMTTAGATTTTGACAGAGTTTCTGTTCTGTGGTTCGTTCTGGTCTGATGAAGCCGMTTCTGAAAAACTGATTGAGTCCTTCAGACCCTCAGCTGGACCCTGAACAGTGTCAGGTTCTTCTGCTCAGCTTTCTTTATCTTCTGGACAAGAAGAACTCATCATCCAGGAGGAGCTCGGAGCAGAGCTCCAGCTTTAATGTTTCCATCCCAAACAGAATGGAGCTTAAAATATTAAAGTAGTACAGCAGGTAAAGTGAAAAAACAGCAGCTAAAGGGAGCTAAATAATCGTTAAAAGTTAAATAAATGACCAAAAACTAAAAATATCAAACCGTAGATCAAGGATAAATTGAGCAAAACTACCTAAAAGAAGAACTTCATCCAGGAGGAGCTGAGCTGCTCCTCAGCATCAGGAGTCAGCTGAGGAGGTTCATCTGATCTGGGTGCCTTGTGGGCAGATCCAGAACTCTCTGGAGGTCCTGTCTGGTCTGGAAACACATTGTGGTCCACCAGGAGGAACTGCAGGGTCTCTGAGGATAGGGGGGTCTGGGTTTCCCTCCTGGACCAGTTGTCTTTATGATCCGACCACAAATAAGGTGTAGGAGCCACGTGTCAAACTCAAGGCCCGCAGGCCAAATGTGGCCCACGGATGACTTCCATCTAGCCCACAAAAGGCCACTTCTCCCAAATTTATTATTGATTGAGATATATAT